CCGCCGTCGCTCAAACATTTCGAGGAAGGTTTGGGGGTCATCCGCTGTCATCCGGTGCATGGTGATGCCGGAAAAGGAGGAGCATGGAGGGGATGGAGACTGTGCCCCCGACCGCCAGCAGTCCCTCCAGCAGCTGTTCTGCTTCCCGCCTGGTTCTGGAGTGCCTCCAAATGCCGTCTATTTGTTGCCGTCTGCTGGCTGTGTATTGCCGTGATCTGCCCCAGCATCTCTCCCAGCAGTGTGATCAGCTGTGATGGCTGCTCCGTAGGCCGCTGCGGGACCGGTGCGGAGGCGGCTGCTGTGGAGGCCGCTGCATGGGCGGTTGTGGATCGGACATTTCCGTGTGCTGCCCCATGTTGGGCGCCAGTGTAGCAAGCCGTGCTACAGACGGGGTTCCCCAGCACACAAACTCCCGGACCAGACTGTCGGTTCACGCAACTCTTTATTTGAGGCACAAATGCAGCTGTACCGCTGCGGCAGCTTCCGCCCAGAGGCCTGTCTTTCGGCGTGTGTCTCCCCCGGATCCAGCACACTACTGCCAAGATAAAAGGTAGAGTCATCAGACAATCATTGGCAGGTGAGGTAATCAACTCACCTGGTGCCACTCTCCCAGGCCTTCCCCACACCTCTCCCTCCTGCAGCTGAGCGCAAACCACGCCCACCTCCACAGTGTTGTTCTTGCTAGAGAAACACACATCCCTTTTCACAGTTCTGCTTGTCAATTTACAAGTTCATATTAAGACTGTAACATACTTTTAGACGTTAATGAGACCATTTGTTGATGGGAATGCAGAGTGAGGATATGAAGTTATGCTCCAATGATCAGTTTGCCAGCACTCTGGAAGAGAGATCTGATGGTTAATAACAACTACAGCCATAACACCATTACTGTAAGTACATTACAGCACTTCCTCACCATGGATCATATGACCGGTCCCATATCTTGTGGTTTACAGTGGTCAATATTCTTGGCAGCACAGCTTTCCTGTGCTCACCCATAATATTCAAAAAGCCTTTGAGGTGCAAGGATTTTACTGTGTGAGAGCGAAGGATAACAATACCACCCCCACATCCTGCTTCAATAAGCTGAAGGACTGGCGTGCCTGAAAGAAACAACTATTGGCTGGAAGGTTAGGATATTTAAATAAACAAACATGTTGAAAACTCTCAATCAAATGCCAAAATATAATCAAAAGTACAGTATTTTCCTGTACCGTTTCTGCATACACTGGCATTCATCCTATTCAATACATCTATTGTTACCACTCTTTTTGGTCTCTTTCAACCCTCTGACATTCTTTACTACCATACTGACTATAATCAGTGGGAACTGGTGAAGATAAAAGCCTAATCACTCATCCGTGTTCCACTCTCATTCACTGAGCAGAATATATTATATAAATCATATACATTTGAATTATTCCCATTTCAGTGGTTCAATATTTAATTTTGGGGGTACTTGGCAGGAGGTTGGTTTATTCCTTGACAGTGCTTTATGATGGAGGATATGCACATACTTTGAAATCATTGTTTCACAGTCACACAACGTACAAGATAAAATTTCTAAAGGGGAAAAATGATTATATGACCCATGAACTTTGACTTCATATGGTCCATAGAAAGTTAAAAGGAAGATTAATGCATTGCAGTCTGTTTCACTCCATGTTCTAAGACACATTATGCTACAGAATAATTGCTACTAGATGGTAGCCCCAGCTTATGTTTCTCTTCATTTCAAAAGCATGTCCGTAATTAGACTTTATTTAAAATTAGCTCCAGTCTGTCCATTTAAATGGGGTAACAGAGCAGAGTATGATTCAGGCTTTCTCTGTGCCCTGGCAGAGCAGCTGGTCTGGCAGATATTAGCTCCTTTTTAGTGTGCTGACCACTTCACCAAGCCTGATAATATAACTCTGAAAATTGGATATGGTCACTGAGGGACAAGCGGACTGAGAAAATCAGAATTACTCCTCATTTGTATGTGATTTACATTTTTTCAATTGGTCTTTAAAAGGCCAGCATTGGACTCAATAAGAAGATTAAAAGCAAATATAGTTTTGTCAAACTAAGGGCTTGGGTGAGAGCTATTCACTTTCACGTCAGCTTTAAGTCTTAGATTTGCTGTCAGGCCTGGTTGCTACTGTAGCTTATTGGGGGATTTAAGTGTCTTTTTGGCCTAGGATCTTTTAACCAACCAAGTTCTGTGTTATTTCAAATCAACACTAAAGTATAAGTAGTGGGACGAAGAAAGTAGGATTGCACTGTTTTGTAGCTACAATGAAATCAGATGGCTATACCGCACATGTTATTTCTTTAGTTCACTTAACTAGCTGTTATTTCGAGTGGTAGATAATGTTTGCATTTTTTAGATGTAATCTAGTACCTTACATATAAGAATAATACATTGTGACCTGTCTGAAGTGTATTCAGACTCTGGCTGTCTTGTCTCAGCCAGTTGCAGTGCTGCCTTTCTCAATCTGAAAGTGATATCAGTGGCTGGGCTTTGGACTTGCGTAGGGAAGAGACTGAGACTGGGTTAAAAAGTTGAGAAAGATGTCACAACAGGCGGCTGGATAGATCCCAACATAAGCCACAACAGCTTAGGACGGCTGTGCTACACTGTCTTCTGGCAGAGAAGTGTGTGCCGCTGAGACATACGCCCAGGGAGGCAGTCAAGGATTGGACTACCCTGTCATTTGGTTGACAACTGACCCACGTCCCTCAAGTCCTCTGCAGTCACTGCGATGACAATTTCACGGCATGAGCTTCCTCTCCTACCTGGCTCACAGAATTACAATGAGTTGACAAATACCAAGACTGACCTCTGGATGCTGTGGCATGTGAACATGTTTCAATGAACAGTTTCTCATCCAAACAAAATAACCCTGCATCTGTTAACTCATATTGATGTACACTGAAATTATGCGAGCAAGAGTTTTGCAATATGGTGTCCCTGAAATTGAATGCTTATTGTATGTGTTATTGTTGCCAAGTATGTTGTTGCCTGTGTTTCTGAGAATCACTTCTTTTTTTGTTCTTCTTTGGAGTTTTGTACAGTATGTCAATGCTCACTGCGGGTATGAAAAGACCAAAATCAGACTTCTTCAAACATCAGTCTTTTTCCGTAAGTAGCACATTCCTCTTACAAACAACAAACAGGTGTTCAATGTTTTTTAAAGAGCTTGGGTGAAGGAGAGAAAACTACAGAAGCTCCGAAGGGAGTGAGTAAATAAAGTGTAGGCAAAAGATAAGTACAGGGTGAATCTAGTTTATGCTTTCCACTGTGTCATGATGGCTCTGATAGTCAGTGGAAATCAGCTCCACAGTTTCAGCTATGATTTACTTTCTCGCACTATGCCTCACACAAAGCCGACAAGAAAGCTGAATAATCAGTTTTGCTAATTGTGCAGTCGTCCCACAACAATCTTCCACTTTGCTGTGCATGTTAATTGTCTATATATTCAGGGAAGGTGCTGTATATTTTACTTCATGAACAGTTGTGCTTTAACTTTCAGAAGGAAAAAATAGTATCGTATTGACATTACACAGTCTATGTTTCCTCTGTCAGCCCCACCAGCGCTTAATTGGCCATACTTCAGAGGGACAATGATCCTAAGCCAAAGTTGCCTTAGAAGATTATAAGTTGTGTGCTTGCAATCCAGCAGGCGTAATTGGGTGCTTAAAAAGTTAATAACTTTTGAATAAAAGTGCTCGTCAGCTTTTTAGCCCATCACATGTAATCTGTGACCAGGGCTCCAGAAGCTTGCATGCTAATGACAACTATAGGGATTTAATTAAACGATTTTCCTCCCCTTCCAGTATATTTGACTTCACGTTTCAAATGCATTCTAACTTAATTTCTTAGACGGTATGATTTGAATAATGCCTTCCCATAAACCACTTTGAATTTAATTAAGATGCCTGTTTGTCTTCCCAAATCAACAGATGCCCCGGTTTTAGTTCAAAATGTATTTTGCCAGCCAGAAAGAGCAAAAACAAAAAGTGCCTGGCTTTCGTGGATTATAAAGTTTGCTGCTAAGAAGGTGTGTAGACACATTACATAAAATATAAATCCTTAACCTTTGGCATTACATTTTCTTCCTCAGCAAGAAATACATAATTGCATATTTTAGTATGTGGGACAAGGGAAATCCAATGTTACTGAGTGTATCATGCTGCCAGGAGAATGGTGCGCATTCTGATGACAGACCGCCCTTAGGTTAAGTTTCAGTGGAGAATAATTGAGTAATGAAAACCCAAATCAGATTTCTCATAAATGAAAAATGGATTTTTCTACTGTGTACAGTGTTGTGGGAGCTCTAAGCATATCAAGTCAATTGAAGGCCATCCAAATTTATTTATAAGGTGCTTTTAACACACAGGGTCATTGTAAAATTATTGACAGACTAACAAAGCAACAAAGCACAGGAATATAAACATAAAACAGAGAAAGACCACAGAATATTTAGAAGTACTATGTGTACATATGTGTAATGCTAAGACAATCCACAAAGGAGTACAAGATAAACCACAGAGCGGGAAGCTTCGGAAAGCAGTGACTCACACAGAGGGGATGAAGGTAGAACAGTAAGCTGTACCAAATCAAGGGTTGTCTATGATCCCACTTCCTGCTCATTGTCCAATGGAAGCATTCTCCCCCGAAGGCCTGTTAACACAGTCTTGATAGGCCTCCTCGTTACCTCCATGACAAAGCCATGAACCGACAAACACAAAAACCAGAACAAAGCCACTCCAGAACAGGCCAATGCTTTGTTCTGTATACATCAGCCTGATAAACTGTAATAATCACAGTAATGATGTCTGTTCAAGGGCACTGGGGAGCTAGGGAGGAGGATGAGGGGTATGTGCAGGGGGGTGCAGGAACGAGACGGGTGTTGTTAATCTGAGAGGCTTGTGTGGAGTTTAGACGGATAGGGAGGGGTGCCATAGCTGTTCACACTGAGATAAGGCTGCATCCGTGCCACTGGTTACCACAGCCACAGCCCCTTACCAACAAGACTGGCCTAGTTGCTCCTTTCCAAGGCCAGGGATTTTGCCTGCATGCGATAAGATGCTCCTGAGCATTGCAAAATAGCACAGGTATTAGCCTGCCCTCATCTTCACAAAGGAATGCCACAGAATAGCGTGAGGGGACGAAGAGGATGAACCTAGACAGAAGCCAGCCACTATTCTGGGTGTACAGATAAGTGGTGCTCTGACAAGGGGTTCAGAGAATGGGAAGGACGGCCAGTGGCACCCCTGCTGGGCCAGATGAAGACAAGCTCACCATGTGGTCTCATCATCCACAGCGCGTTCTCTACACAAAAAGCACAAGATTACTGGTATGTGTTTATCTAGTGGTTTATGAATAGATGTATAGAATAATTGTGGTATTATTCCTCAATTAGGCTTTTTTAAGCTGTACATTTTGCAAAGCTAAATGTCTGATGTTTCCTCAAAGCTCACTACCCATGCCAGTGAATAATTAGCAATTAAAAGTAAAGAGACTTTGTTTGCATATTCTATACGTTGCACTATTATGTACACAGTATTTGTTGTTTTGATTGTCCCCATCTCATGCTGTCAGATTTGAGAGAAAAGATAAAAGCTCTGCATGAGAGCAGAGTAGAAAAACTATAAAGGGCTGTCCACACCAAGAATGAAAACTATAACAATAACTATATCTTCTGATTCCAGAGTTATTTGATGATGGGAAAACATACCATTTACTCATGTACTCTTTTTTTTTATTATCAAAGAATGATTACAATTTGTCCTAGAAAGTCTACTACACTTGTAACAGTGTTGGAACTCCTCTCGTCTTTAAATAACCTTGTGATCCCAGATCCTCCTGGTTTATTTCTTGTTTCTCTGCACAATATACAGCAGTAACAGTAATCAATATACATTCTCCCTAGCTGCTGACACAGTTGGAGCATGCAGCGTGTGCTTGGTGCTACTGTTTACAGAACATTATCGCTCATCCGTGTGGATGTTTACATCATTATCATTAAAGTTATTGTTCTTTGTGTGGACAGCCTTTAAAACACATAAGACATGAGATAACGCTACCCCTCAGACAGGTGAGGCTTTTGAGGCATTTGTTATTGGTATTTATATATTTGGTTATATGATTACTCACCCCAGTTGCATTTATACACAGTTGGCAATTTGATACCATCCCCCTTGACCAAAATGCATCCCCCTTGTTACCGTGCCATCCCTCCTTGTTCCCCATCCCCTAGTAGCAGAGAGAGTGCAAGGGCAGAGGGGTTATTTAGTTGAATATGTTACTCTAGTTCTTCCTGAACCATTGATTGTTTTGTGCAAGGTAGAATCTCTGGCCCACACCATGGCTCTGAAATATCATTTGTCAGTTTCATCTTGGATCTATATTATTCTCTAAAATATGTACTTTAAATACTAGATGATATATTATGTTGTAGCCTATGTATTCTATAGTACAGGGTTACCATCATGTTCAAATTGACAAGTAGCAACATGGAGTCGTGGAAGCATGAAAGGATCATGGAGACACTCTGCTGCCTGTTGTATTCCTATAATATCCCTACAATTTTCTATGATCATTCAGTAGTGTCTGTGCAGCTGAGAATATATCCCCAGACAAAGCCACCTCTGTAACAAAATGTTATAGGGTTAGGGACATCACCAATGCCATGCCTGAAATTAACAAATCACAGACTGTACCATACCATAGTCACCTAGCGGTATGACCATAAACATCAATAAATACACAATATTCATTCTCATTTTATTAGATTTTTTTTCTAAAGGTAATGTATCATCAATCATGATTCTAGTGGGTAAAGCTGCCACAGAGACAATGAATGTCAATGTCAATTTGCTCTCCAAAATGCAAACATATTGCAAGCTTATGATTATACATTGATTATACATGCTATATTCCTTGACATATGAATATTTCACAGTAACTTCCTGCAGCCTGAGTAACAGATGTCCTAATCTACTCTACAGCGAGTCCAGGCAGAGTTTAATTACAGTGTGCACAGTAGCACAAGTGAACCTGCCTGATTGAAGTAAACAGTATGTGATTGTCAGCACATTACCCCCCCCAGAAGTAACTTTATGTCTAATTAAGGACCGTAGAACTTGTGGTTGGAAGATCGGCTTCACACGAGACAGCATCACTGTCTGCTAAGTAAGCTACAACACAACAGCGGACACTTTTAAGACAGAGGAGAGTGTTTCATTTAAGAATGTACTTTCAGGGTGACCACTCTAAATGCCCCTGTCAACTACAGCCTTGATATGCAGGGGGACAACTCATTGCACCACTGACAGAGAGAAAACAACGGCTGCTGGTGAAGAAGCAAAGAGAATCACCATTAATGTCAGGTGCCTGCAATTATTCCCCTCAATTTATAAGCTGTAGACACTAAAACTCAATACCCTTACCATTGCCCTAAGAAGTATATATTTTTTTCTTGATATCACCAAATACCACCTGCCATGAAAATGCTGCTTGGGGGGTTGAAACTTCCAAAACACTTCTGTCAAGTTGTTGCAAATGTGTACAGCTGATTTTGGTGAGCACACACTCCAAAAAAAGACACAATGTATTTCTAATCACATCTTAACCAGCCTGCCTTAAATTTCTATTTATCTCACTAGTCTTATCTGTACTTTCATAAACACAAGTATTGGGGAGAAGAAGACCAAGTAGGAGAAGTTGTTTATAACAGTGTGCATTTATTATCATTTCATTTGAACACCATTCAGATGGTATTTTATTTTAAAGATTTATATGTGAGATAGAGTAGACTATTAAAATTATTGTAATGATATGAAGGGCCTACAGCAAACTACCAAATAAACAAAAAGCCTTGCAGGAAAATACGCTCTCTGATTAATTAAGAGTTAGAAAGTGATAATGATGATAATAAATCCACTACTGCTCCACACACACACACACACACACACACACACACACACACACACACACACACACACACACTCCACTTGTTGACATACTATATCAATGTGGCAATTAACTGAAATCAAATTTGTGTGCGTCCATTCACCAGCATATCTCTGCAAAAGATTACTCAAATGTACAAAATGACAGTTGACAGTAGTGCGTAAACTCCAACAGCATGGTATCTGACTTAGGCCATTCAGTATAATGTATCATGCACCTTCTGCATTTGTTATCACACTGAGCCAGAGGCTTTCAAAACCTGTAACTGGCACAGACATTCTCAATGTGGTGATCAGATGTAATGCAGTAGACTCAAGAATGCCTCAAGCACCTGGTTTTTAATCCTCACAGTTTTAGCAATATGAAGCTTATTTCATTGCAATGCAATGGCAGTGGCTGAATTCAAATTGCTCTCATGCAATATTAATTGCACTGTGTTCTCGGAAAAATTGAAAAATTCTAGGACTACGAAAGATGCGAGGTCATAAACAGAAATTATTTTTGTCTCAAGATTTTTTAGGAGGCTGTCAATAAAAAATAAAAAAGTATTTTCTAAGTAGTAGGTTCAACATAAAATTCTGCATAAATATCTGAGACTAAAAAGCAACAACATGTCAAGAGTCTGTTGATCCCTACCACTGAAAAAGACATCTAGATCTGACTTATCAGTGAAGTACATTTGACAGACTCCATGTCAGCTCTCTGGTTGATCAATTGCCTTCATTTCTTCTGTGGAGCAATATTGGGCTTTAGATAATATTTGGCTTGCAAGTAGCAACACATCATCATCAACCTCAATGCATACAAACATAAAGTACGTATACAGTATAAATTCCTATATGAGACACAGCTCAAATAGCAATGTGGCTCTGTAATACCAGAAAATACAGTACATCAGCTCCTGCCCACTACATAAAGACCACTGCATTATCATTTGATGTAAATCATAAGGTGCAGAATTGTCAAGTATGTAATTCCTAGTAAGTAAAAAGTTTAATTATTCTGCATATTATATATCACCATAAATCCGCGTGACTGTTTATTCTTAGACAGATAGAAGATGACTGATGCGGGCACAAAGGAGTTCTTAAACCAATTCAATTTACTCTGCTGAGCTCTGTATTGTCTGCCTGATGGTAATAGCTCACACTGGGAGAAGAGAATGTTGGATGGATTACAGAGGATTCTCTTTACCTGTTTAAGTAAGCACTGGTCATAGAGACTAGACAGAATGTTATTACAATCTTTCTTACCAATCATTTTCATCACAGTCTGAACCAAGTGTGCTAACTTTTATTAATTATTATTGAAATTGTAAATGATACAATAATCTTAACTTAAGGTAAACATACTCACTTGTTTTGGAGTTTTCCACCTCATCATACAGTCTTAATAGAGGGATGGAAGTTGGTTGTTGTGAAACTTGAAATTGTTTTGTTAATACATCACTGTATTACTGCAAATAATAATAATAGTGTATACTCACAAAATCAACAAAACAGCTACAGCTAATAAAGTATCGCTCGGTAAAGAGGAAACTGAAATGTAAAAAAAACTGTTGTAAACCATGATAAAAAATACATCTGCAGTGACTTTTATAACTGTCATTTCACAAATGCAACAAGAATCTGGCACAGCTCATGGAGACTTGCTCATCATATTCAAAGATGTCTGATGATCACAGCGGCCCTTGTACAGTACAGATCAGCTCCTCCCTTCATATTTTTAACAACATGTTGAATATGTCATCTGACAAGTGTAGAAACTTTTTGAGCTGCCACAGCAACTTTTATTCGTAAGGAGTTGACAACACAGCATGGGGTTGTTTTGTTACAGTAGACTGGAATCTGCAACAAGTATGCTAAATTGCACTTCCTTTTATTCAGGACATTGAATGTAATTGATCCATGGTTGCATTTACTGTGAGACTGAGAAGCAAAAAGACTGTCATCTCCCCTGATCTCTGCCTTCTCTGCAGGAAAAGGTCTGGTGACTTTGTGGTTCACCACAAGGCAATTTATTTACAGCGCTCCACTTGTGGCTGTGTAAATATTCTTCATGAGAGAGGAGGCTGTCACCAAAGAACTGCACTTCATCAAAAACAACCCTTTCTTGTCAGGGGCTAATGTGAAGGTGTATATCACACCAGGCGTCCGCCCTCTGAGTAGTGAGACGCAGGGATTGTGGCATTGTTACGAGTAATGGGGCTCCCAGAGGGACTCTACACCTCCACTGAATGCAAGTCTCTTTCAGTTAGGAAGTAACGTGTAGTGTTTTCTGGCAGTAGCTACAGGAAGCAGTGGGATTGTTGTTGTACAATAGCCTACAATGGGGATGAGTATTTATTGTGGTAGACTTGAGGATTCTTGCTGCTTATTACAT